ATAGGTGAATTCTAAAGAATGATAAGTATTCTCACCCTGGCTCATGCAGTTGTCAACACGGATCAGTGAAGCATTACCATAGTGTTGAAGTTTACATTCTGTAATGGCATGGAATAATTAGCCACTAAAATGGAATGAATGACAAAATATTCTCTTGTCCCAACACTTTTGTACAGTACTGTATATATAAGATAGTAAAGAGAGGGAAGAGTTTTCAATATAGTAGAGTTAGTTAGTTAGTATATTAACTATAGGGGTTACTTCGTGCAAGTAAATTGATTTGATTTTACTTTAGTCCAAGTATTGGTTCTTGGATTGGACGTTGAATTACTTTCACCAGATAATTTAAAAGAAAAATTCTACTACAATAATAATGTAAAAAACTTGTAATAAAATGCTTTCAGGATAAAAACATTCATATTACACGGAAAGAAGATAGGCAATTGATGAACATTAGAAAATCTATGTTGATGAAACCTGTCATGTAAGTTGGACTTGTGGAAAGTACACATTTTTGACATATTTTACACTTATATAAAAAAATTTCTAATTATTTAACATAATAAATTCATATCAAAGAATATTAATTATTGGGAATTATGGAAAATTTGTCCAATTCTACTCCTTCAACACTGAGAAACTATTGAATATATATAAAAATAAAAGTATCTAAAATAAGTAATAATAAATATAATGTTTAAAAACGTAATAAATTTTAGGTCTTTGCATAATTTATATCGAATAGTAAATAAATTATTTTTACATACGGGACCTGGCATGGTCTCGATTCGCACGGGTTCGAATGCCAGTCACTGAACTTGCTCGCCGAGGGGCATCATAATATGAGGGTCAATCCAACTATTTGTTGGTAAAAGAATGGCACAAGAGTTGGCGGTGGGTGGTGTTGACTAGCTGCTTTCCCTCTAGTCTATCACTACTAAATTAGAGAGGGTTAACCCAGATGGCCCTCGTGCAGCTTTGCACAATATTCAGAACAAACCAAACCAAACTTTTACATACAGATGTTTTGAGAATTTATATATAGCTCAGTTTTAAAACAACTTTCTACAACTTAACTTTTATAAAATAGTTTAAGATAACAAAACTCGTAACGTTTTCTTACAGAAGATATTGTGTTCTCTCTTCTCGTTGATTGTGTGAAGAGTGAAATTATAACCATCCAATGGCCAACGATCCTTCGAATTGATTTTCAGATGATTTAGGCTTTCCCATTCTCGAGCCACTTCCCACGTGACGTGCCGTATCCAGACTGCTATATTTGTTGCTACGAGGTGCATGAGAGCAATGTGACGAAACCATCCCAGTGAGTGAATGATTTCCTATGATCATAAATAGATAAAGTTTTCCATAATATTTCTGAAACAGTGTTTGGGTATAAAGAAAACGTTCATAGTAAGAAAATACTATATATATCGTTTTAATAGTGTTGTCTGGGTTTCACTGTTATATTTTCTTGTTTTTGTAAAATACGTTTTTCGTATTATTCTTATCGGTAAATTTGAAGGCTGAGAACGCTAAAACTCGAGATTCGGTCCTTTGTGCAGCTTTGCGCTTAACAACAAGCAAACTTATGAGCATATGAAAAACTGACAACCAAGGTGAGTTCAGAAAGTAAATTTCGTGATGACTTATCTATACATAAGCCACTTTAGTGCAAGGTTTCAAATGGTGGGCAAGACTTCTGCTATTTCAACAGTGATGATATCAATAATCTTCTTTACTACAGGGAATTAAAATGGTGATGGGAATGAATATTAAGCAGGTGAGTTATATCTACAATGTGCGGCTATAAACATTTGAGTTAGGTCCATAATATACGGTTGTTAAATAAGTGAGTTAGGCCTACAATATGCCTAAATTAACTAGAACTCTTATTAGTTACATTTAAGTATCACACAAGTATTCGTTTTCCTCAAAGTAACACAAATATGTCAGTAAATATTTCTTATATTGGAAACCCTTATCTCAGGTTTCATCTATATGTAGAACCATATTTTATCATATAAGGAAATATATTATCTTAAAGTTTATCAATGTAACTAACATGGGCTTGATGTTCGGGTGGAAAAGTAAGACGTAATACCTTACAGTGAAACAAGTATGGAAAGAAAACTGTAGTAACATTCAGTAAACTAAAGAAAGTTGGAAGAGTAAATTACTGTTACGACAGCGGAACTCGTGTGACGCTGGAAGCTTGCGCGCTGGAGTTTCTAGAAGGATCTTGACTGTTCCTGGCAACTCTAGTCTTTTCTACGCGCCCTCTATTTTAGTATATAAGCTGGCAAATAAAGCGGAGATATAATTACAGATAGGGAGATATAGAGACAGATAATCGTATCAAGTCGTAAGTAAAGTGCGTGAATCGTTGTGAATTATAGCGTGTGTTTAAGTTAAAGTGACTGTGAAAATAAAGTGTATTGCAAAGTTGTATTGAGAAAGAATAAACTAGTTTTATTTAAGAAAGGACTCGTATCGCTGAAGTTCTTCGGAAAGAATTTTTACGAGAAATTAACAAACGACCAGAGACGTAGCAGTACATTACCTTACAGTAAACTGGAATAAGTTGGGGAAGT